TTGTCAATGTTTGCCCCTTGCTGGCAAGTTTGAAGTGAAATTGACCCAATTTCTTGATGGTGACACTGAACTTGTACAAAACAATATCACAGTGTTTCTCAAACTGTTAATAGGACCATCTTCAACAATGCTGGTTAAACATGAAAATGGCCCACACCTCAGTTCTAGCAAATCAGTCACTATAAAGAGGCATCAAGAATCTGCACATTTGACATACAGATGGTCAATAGACATGAAAAAATGCTCAAAGTCACCCATGATCAGATGTAAATAAAAACAATGTATCACCCCACACTTGTCAAAATGGCAACTATCAAATCAGTTTCTGGAGAGGATATGGAGAAAGGGAATCCTAGTACACTGTTGATGAGAATGCAGACTGGTGCAGCCACTGGAAAACAGTATGGAGTTTCCTCAAAAAATTGAAAATGACCCGGCCAGTTGAGCATCGATCTATGGACCAGGAGGTCACAGTTTGATTCCCAGTCAGGGCATATGCCTGAGTTGTGGGCTCAATCCCACAACTGGGCATCTGATCAGTGATTCTCTCCCATCATTGATGTTTCACCCTTCCTCTCTAAAATCAATATAAAAGATATCCTTTTTGAGTTAAAAATGGAACTGATCCCACTTCTAGGAATATAGCCTAAGAATCCCAAAACACTAATCAGAACATATGCACCCCAATATTCATAGCAGTGGTATTTACAGTAGCCAAGGTCTGGAAACAGCACAAGTGTCCATCAATAGATGAATAGATAAAAAAACACATTTGTACCATGGAATACTATGCAGCAGTAAAGAAGGGTTTCCTTGCCCTGGCAGGTTTGGCTCAGTGAACAGAGGGCATTGGTCTGCAGACCAAAGGGTCCTGGGTTCGATTACAGTCAAGAGAATGCACCTTAGTTGCAGACTCCTCCCCGGCCCAGGCCCTGGTCAGGGCATGTGCAGGAGGCAACCAATTGTTTCTGTCACATCGATGTTGCTCTCTTTCCCTCATCCATTTTCTCTAGAAATCAATGAAAAACTATCCTTGGGTGAGGATGAAAAAAAAAAAGAAGGATCTCATATCCTTTAAGAAAGTATGGAGGGACCTGGAGAGTGTTATGCTAAGCGAAATAAGCCAGTCAGAGAATGACAAATAACACATGATCTCACTTATATATGGAATATAAAGAACAAAATAGGACCAGAAGCATGGATAAATGAAAGACTGACATCTCAAAGGGGAAGTGGGGGTGGGAAGGATGGGATGAGAAGAAAAACAAAACAAAACATGCATATATGCATAATCTGTGGTCACTGAGAATAATATGGTGAAGGCCTCCGGGGACAGGGTGTAGGACAGGTAAAGCGGAGCAGGAATGGGGGACATCTGTAATAGAGCCAACAATAAAAATAAAAAGAACCTGCACATTTAACAATGCCTGGGGTTAACAGTTTAAATTGTAAAAAGGTCTTTTTATCACCTCCACCTTTCCAAGACCTTCCAAAGTCTGGGTGCAAAGGGTTTAAGTATTTTGATAATGGGATGAAAGGGCCTTTGTCTGCAACTATGTAATATGTAGTAAGAACCATAAGTATATTTCCATACCTTTTCATTAATTCATACGAATGTATTTAGTTCCTGAAGTGTGTACAGGGACAGTAGGCCCTAAGGGTGCAGTGGTTAGCAAAAATAGTCTATTTGAAAAGACAATCCAATAATTATAACAAATTGATAATGAGGAAAAAGAAACTTCTTAGGTCTGTAAGATGTGTGTACATGTGTACATTCACAATCATGTTATGTTGCTTCAAACAACTTTGTAAAGTGTTAAAACTGGGAAAGTCCCAGTGTGTTGATACAAAATTCTGCCCTCTGTTCTTAGCAGATGAAAAAGACATCAGAGTTTGTATGCACAGATGGACATCATTTGCCCAAGGCAGGCTTTAGCTCTTTTCTGACCTGAGGAAAAGGAGAGAAGGGACTACCTGGAAAATTAAAGTCAAGGTAGTTATACTATACATTTGTCCATTTTAAAACGGGAAGCTAATTTGCTGAACTGGGTGTTGAATGTACAATATGCAAATGTTATGTGGGGTTGGGTTCCCCTGTTTGCCAACTGGCACTAGCAACCGAGTTGGGGTAAATTGAAATACCAGCTCTCTTATCCTATGACCTGAAATCTTTCTAGTCTCCACCTCATTTTTTGTCCAGAACTCATAAGGATTTCCTGTCCTCTCAACAGTCCCACCCCATTTCTCCCTGATTCCCCACACTCAGACCTGTAACTCCCAGACCTGTATTTCTTTTGAGAGAAATAAAAGGCATTGTCACCAAACCATCACACCTTTCAAAATCCTATCAAATATTATCCCCTTTTGGTCATCCTATCCCTCTTTCCCCTTTTCTTCCTGAAGTCTACCATTAAGGGATAAGCTTCATGGAAGGGAAGAGCCAGTTCATCTAGAACAAAAAAGTCTCTAGGGTAGGGATGGGAAAGCATATGACAGCTGCTTATCAGACCAAAAGAGCGAGAAGTCATTTTGATAGTAAGGAGAGAGATTGGCAGGAACAATAGAGTAGAAGGTGTCAGCTTGATCCCTCATAAACCCTAGGGTTCAGCCTGGTGCAGGGCAAGTGGAGGATGATTAGTGAGAGCAGCAACTCCAGATAGCTGATCCTTTCCAAAATGACAGTAGTGGGGGCTCCTGGATTCCACAGGGGTTAATTCAGGTTAACCTTGACCAGGTGGTGAGTGTTTAGGAGTTCTAGACCTCCCCTGTGTGTTGACTTCATATATTCAGGCCAACCGGAGAGCTTTCTTTATACTGTTATTCTCATAAAGAGATAAAAGCAGTGCCCTAGCCAGTTTGGCTCAGTGAACAGAACATGTGCCTGTGGAGTAAAGGGTCCCAAGTTCAATTCCAGTGAAGGGGGCTGGATCCCCAGTAGGGTTCGTGCAGGAGGCAGCCAGTCAATGATTCTCTCATCATTGATGTTTCTATTTCCCTCGTCCTCTCCCTTCCACTCTGAAATCAATAAAGATATATTAAAAAACAAATAATATCTCTTTTTTAAAAAAGTGGCCATACTCATTTATATTTCTTATTGAAAGCAAGGAGCCTAGTTCTCAAATAACTGCACTAGCCCTGGAGTGCCTACCTCTAGACTTACTAAATGAGAAAAACAATCCCTTTTGTTTAGTCATGATAGTCTGGTTTTCTGTTGTGTGAAGTACAATCCTACCCAGATATTTGATTGTCTGCCTTTCTCACTACATCATGTCAAATACCATGTCTATATTTGCTACCTGTGTAAGGTAGAAAATTCAACTCAAAACTGCTTTAAGATATATGGAAGTTTATGAACTCACATAACTGGAGATCCAAAAGTAGGACAGAACTAAGAGCTGACATGATCCCATTATCCCAGTTCCATTTCTCTGCTATTCTTTTTTTTTTTTTAATATATCTTTATTGATTTAAGAGAGGAAGGGAGAGGGAAAGAGAGAAACATCAATGAAAAGAGAGAATCTTCGATTGGCTGCCTCCTGCACACACCCCCACTGGGACTGAGCCTGCAACCGGGGCATGTGCCCTTGACCAGAATCGAACCCGGGACCCTTGAGTCCACAGGCCAACACTCTATCCACTGAGCCAAACCAGCTAGGGCTCTCTGCTATATTTTTTACCTCCCCTGTGTGTTGACTTCATATATTCAGATTGCCATCATAAGCACTGTAGGAATTTCATGACATATGTCACAGCTCAACATGCCTAGTGGGAGCGTGGATCACTTCTGGAAGTTCCCCTGGAAAAGCTTTCCGGAAAGTATCCTGAAAACCTATCCTTAAAACTCATTGAGGTGCAGTGGGGTACATGCATGATCCTAATCCAGTCCCTGGCAAGAGGGTGCTACTATCCTTAGAACAGTCCAGACCACCCCTGGAACCCAGGAGGCTGAGCTACACCAACTGTGGGTAGGAGGGAAGGATTCCCGAATAACAGCAGGGTTCTGTTAGAAGGGGAGAAGGGAAAGGATGTTGAGTATGTAAACAGCTCACTTTTTGTATTCCCAACATCTTGTAGACAAGCTTAAAAGCCAAAACAGAACACCCACACAGTTTATGCTTTATCTCAACAATAAGTTTCTTGAGTGAAGTATGCTTTACTCTTATTTATACTAGAGTTTTAACTCAATCCTGAACATATTAGGAATTCAAATTGTTGATTTTTTAAAATCAATAAGTCTGTGAGAGAAAATGGCTTATTTAGCTTCCTAGATTTTTTTGCACATTGTTAGATTTTCTTGCTAATCAACTTCTTTGACTCCCAAAACTTAGAACTGCTTGGGTACACAGGAAAAATTCCAAGCCCACAGATGTACATTTATTCAACAACTATATTGATGTACTAGTGACTTTTTCTGGAAAAGTAAATCAGTGAAGTCCCTAAAGTTCCTTTTTCTTGCCAAAATGAAGAAACCGGGGAGATGAGGTTCTGCTTCGCTAGAGGCAGTTGTCAAACTTACAAGTTCCAAATCATCCAAAAATTCCGGGGTTCTTTACTGTCAGTAACTAGAGACGATTACTGATTTTTTAAAATAGTTGATTTTCAAAGGTGTAAACATTTTATATTATCCATGGTGGCTTATCTCAGAAGGAGAAAAAAGAATATGCCTCTATACTAACTTTTCATCAGCAGGCAAATGTGGATCATCACGAAATTGACTTTTATACCTCTCTCTTCATCCTAAAAAGTATTGTTTAAAAAGTTTGGGGCCGTAAAGTAATACTGATTTCCTCTGTCTCCGTAGGCCCATTGATAAAGTCATTACTTGACAGAACCAGTTCACATTGATTGATAAGCTTGGTTTGCAGAAAGTGCCCTTGGCTTGGGGCATCAGTGACCAAGGATTCAACTCGCAGCTTCTTGAAAAACGCGGATTATGGATCATTTTGCCACGACCAACACTAAATGAGATTCAGTATTTAAGCACAATTCCAGGTAATTTCATGATTTAATACACTTGCTTCTTCATTCACTTCTCCAAACGTTCCAACCGATTATTCGGCTTCTAAATGGGCCAGGAATTTAGGAAAAGAAAGAAGAGGCATGGATGGGGATAGGGATGGGGAACCCTTGACCCGGGTCGCAGCCTGGGCGTGGCTCGGCCCTGCGCACCGAGACCGAAGGCCGTACACTCGGCGCGGCCCCAGGCTCCGGATGCGGGGCGTCCAGCCCAGACCTCGCCCTCGGGGAGAGGAGAGGCGGAAGCCAAGGGGAGGAAATGCAGTCCATCCACTGCAGTCGTCGCGGCTGCGGCCCTGGAAGCGAACCTCAGACCCACCTACCCGCAGGGAGGCCGGGAGGGGGGACCTCGGACAAAATGGCGCAGCCGCACGGCGCAGGGTGGGCGACTCGGGCCGGCGCGCGCCGGGCCGTCCGGGCGTGTTTCCGGACCAGCGGAGTCGGAAACGGACTCCGGGCGCGCGCCCCGGAGAGAGGAGGCGGGGCGGCTTTCCCGGAAGTGCGGCTGCGTGGCAGGGAGCTTGGCCCTGCATCTCCGTAGGTGCCCCGCGGAGCGAGCGTGCAGAGAGGAGAACCGGTTCCTGCGGAGATCTCGGTCCTCGGTGCGTGTGCGTGTGCGTGTGCGTGTGCGTGAGTGTGTGCGAGTGTGCAGGGGGCGGGACCCCAGGCAGGGCAGTGGTCCCACTGTGTGTGTGCGTGAGTGTGCGTGTGGGTGAGTGTGCAGGGGGCGGACCCCAGGTAGGACAGGGGTCCCGCTGAGTGTGTGCGTGTGTGTGAGTGTGAGTGTGTGAGTGTGTGTGCGTGTGTGTGAGTGTGAGTGTGAGTGTGAGTGTGAGTGTGCAGGGGGCGGGACCCCAGGCAGGGCAGGGGTCCCGCCGCGGGTGGGGAGGGAGACTCGCAGAGGAAAGAGAGTTTGGCTGTCGTTCCCCAGTCCCAAAGGGAGGGGCGGGATGGACGGGCCCCTGCCTCCCCGGGAGTCCGCCAAGTTCATTGCTGAGAACAGCCGAGACGTGTCCATCGACGGCGGAGGCGTGCGGAGGGTGGCCGAGCTGCTGCTCGCCAAGGCCGGGAGCCCCGAGCTGCGCCTGGGCGGCTGGAAGGCCCTTCATGAGCTGAACCCCAGGGCGGCCGACGAGGCCGCGGTCAATTGGGTGTTCGTGGCAGACACACTCAACTTCTCCTTCTGGTCGGAGCATGAGGAGCACAAATGTCTGGTGGGCCACCGGGGCAAGACGTACAGTGGGTACTGGTCCCTGTGCGCCGCCATCAACAGAGCCCTGGACGAAGGTGGGTGCCCCTTCGGGCCGTCAGACCCGCAGCCTTTGAGGCGTCAGCTTCCCGGGAGGGTCCCGAGGAGCGGGGTGGGAGATGGAGTCATGTGCTAATAAGGCGAACCTGCAGTTCCTCTCGCCAGCCCCGCAGCTTACAGTAAAAGTATGCTAAGAGGCCGTCATTAAACATCCTTACTCAGTGGGCGCTGATCCTGGTATCAGTGTCGCAGCTAAGCACAAAAGCCAGTCTGATGCAATCTTAAGAACAAAGGGGACAGATAGAGAACACGTTTTACGCAGCCAAAATACACCTGATGTAATTTTACAGTTGTTAGAAGTGGATGAAACAGTACAGATGAATCCATAGAAAATGAGGCACCTGGTCTGGTTTTCTATTACTCATCCTCTTTTAGTTCATTCCTGCAACACTCATTTAGTTTCATATTAACTATGTTGTAAAAGAAAGGGGTCTGATAAATATAAAAATATGACATGGTTCCTATGCGTTTCCTTTTCTCCCCAAGGGATACCAATAACTAGTGCTTCGTACTATGCCACAGTGTCCCTGGATCAGGTTCGGCATATACTCCGTTCTGACACGGATGTGCCCATGCCTTTGATCGAAGAGAGGCATCGGATTCTCAATGAAACCGGGAAAATCTTGCTTGAGAAATTTGAAGGCTCCTTTCTTAACTGTGTCCGAAAAAGTGAAAAAAGTGCACAGAAGTTAATGCATCTGGTAGTTGAAAACTTTCCCTCTTACAGAGATGTGACTGAGTTTGAGGTGAGTTCCTTTCGTTGGGGATTTTAGAATTCTTGATTATCTTTTCATTGTCAAGTCTGTTAGTTTCTGGAACTCCTTTTGAGAATAAAAACTTAAATTTTGAAGTTTGTTCTTGTGGACAAGGAATATAACAAGTTAAGTAGTGTTTCAAAGACATTACTTCTCTAGTGATTTCTAATCAGTATATTCCCATAATTCTTCTGTCCTTTTTTTGTTGTCCTTTTTATTTTTTGGTTGTCCTTTTAAAATGTTTCAAACCTAAATACAACACTGAACCTTGAACATGATGTTGTCACTTAGGGATAAAGAGGTCCTTTTAATACTTCAAAAATCTACTTTCATTAGAGGAAAATCAGAATGTATACTAAATTTCTCTATTTAAGTATATTTAAATAGTTATTTTATTAAATTCTCTACTTATTTAAATATATTTAAATAATTGTTTTATTTAATAATTTTTAAATAATTCTCTATTAAAAAGTATTTTTTGCAGAGTTCTGATATATATGTATATATATAATGTCTTTTCCTTTACATGGACAGAATACTTTGACAGTATTATTGCTTTATGGTACAAAATAGTTTAAAGAGATTTACTTTTAAAATGGTGAGCATTTTGTATACCGTTCCAGGTATGTAAAAATTTAGAATCTTATCAGTGTATATTTTAACTGTGACAAGAATTGAAAGCAACTTCAGCAGGTTCACATAATATAAATCTGTTGATTTATTGCCTAAGTTAATGAATACTTAAGTCAAATGTTCAAGCTACCCTTTTGTAGTCACATTTCAGCAACTAAAATTACCAATAATATTGCTTAAATTGCTCTTTAGAGCAGGGGTCCTCAAACTATGGCCCTCGGACCACATGCAAATACAAATATTGTATTTGTTCCCGTTTTGTTTTTTTACTTCAAAATAAGATATGTGCAGTGTGCACAGGAATTTGTTCATAGTTTTTTTTAAACTATAGTCTGGCCCTCCAACCGTCTGAGGGACAGTGAACTGGCCCCCTGTTTAAAAAGTTTGAGGACCCCTGCTTTAGAGCCTAAGGAAAAGGGGCATATTGTCCCCTTTGCAGCAGGAACCAGTTGAAAAAGAAAGTTTAACTAGTTTATCTTAGGTTATTTAGATAATAGTTAACTATAAAGTGAGAGGAGGCCTGATTGTGTATGTAAAAATTCTTTTATTTGCAAATGACAGAAACAAAACGTGAAAAAATGTATCAAAAAGAAGAATTTTTGGAAGGTATTTCGGATAGGCACATCCAGGATCAATCAAGGGCTTAGTGCCATCAGGATTCAGTTTCTCCTTTTAGCTTCTGTTGACTCCATTTTTCTCTTACTGTTGACCAGCTTTTTCCATGGGGGTCCATGAACTTTGCATCTTATTGCTTCAGCACGGGAGGGGGAGGATGGAGAGGAGAGAGATAAGAGAGAGAGAGAGAGAGAGAGAGACTTTCTCAGTTCCAGTTCTAAAACTTACGTGCAAGGACTGATTGCACTGGCAGGGATTGTGACCGTTTGGATGTGGCTTTCAGGGTGTGTGGATGGGCAGAGACAGTTCTTAGAAAAGAGTCCATAGGTTAGCTTACTGTTGAACTTCATTCTGTTTTAACTGACCATTTTGCTAATGCAGAGGTTACTTTGAGATTTGTCTTCAAAGTACATCATTTCAGCCTTGTTTTTCAAGAAATGGATCCAGTTCCTGGGTCCATTTGAAAATAAGGGGGGGGGGGGCAAAAGTAGGTTTATAGTTGTGAGTACACGAAACACAGAGTTTATTCTTGTATTATTACTTATTACTTATTGTATTATTTTCCAAACAAACAACTATAAACCTACTTCTGCCTCATCCTATATTTGTAGAGAATTTTGAGTTAAATTATAACCCACTATCTTATAATGCTGAGTTAATTTTTTTCTTCCATGTATAAATATAATTGGTAGTTTACTTTTGTTACATATTAACTTTGACCATTTCCAAAAGTGGCAGACAAATTCTAGCTGTTGGTCAATTATGTCTTTATCTGTGAATAAGTTAATCATAGTATCTGAAAGGAAACAGGCAAAAATGAATGTTGTGATTCTCTTCCGAGGTGAGTTTAGGGATGATTATTTTCTTCTTTATACCTTTCTATATTTATACAATTAATGTGGATTATGTTGCAATTAGAAAAACATATATAAACTCTCTAAAGAAATACTATCTAGCTATTAAAAATAATAAGTAGGTCGATTATAGTGACACAGAAATATGTACATGAAGTAATACTATTGAAAAAGAACACTAAATAGTATCATGATTACATGAGTTGTATTTTATGTGCCTTGAAAAATATAGGAAGTAAATTTGGAGTGATAGAGGTAATTTAATATTTATTACACCCCCCCTTTTTTTTGTAAAAGGCCTATTACCAACAGAGTAAGATTATTCTTCACTTGAAAAATATTTTCAACATGTCTTTTTTTTTATAGCATTTCATAAAGCTTTGAGATACCCAGGTAACATTTATATTCTCTTCACTCATCAGGGGAAAAGAATTTCTTTTTACAAACGGGCCCAAATCCTTGTGGCAGATACGTGGAGTGTGTTAGAGGGAGAAGGAGACGGCTGCTTTAAGGACATCTCCAGTATTACCATGTTTGCTGACTATAGATTACCTCAGGTTCTTGTTCACCTGGGAGCCCTGAAATACTCTGAAGAACTACTGGAGAAGCTTCTCAAAGGTTTGTCAGCTTAATTAAGACATTCTTTGTTATACTGTGAATTATTGTTGAGTCTCTAGTTTCTTTCACAAAAGGTCTCCTTTCCTTAGAAAAAAGAAATGCTTATTGTTAAAAACATACGTAAAGAAAAAATGCAAGGGCAATTAAAATATGGAGAAAATTGCTTTTTGTTGTTATACTATGGAATACGGATATTGTGGGAAATTGCGCTATTTAAGATATTATCATTTTAGAGCATCATAATAGAGTGAAATCTAAATTTCTATTACATGAAGGTGTGCAACACTAAGACAGTTCATCAAGTGTAGTATTTGAAGAGTATTAAGCCAAAGAGCACACTACAGTGTGAAATAAAATAGGGGATGAGAGGTAATATGAAGTGGATTTTTAGTTTGGAGGCTTCAAGGTCTGCCACTGGGTTATCTTGCACAAGTCACTCAGTTTTCTTTCTTTTTTAATTTTTATTTGTATGAGTTTATTTGTTTACTTGAGCCAAACTGGTGACATGCCAGGAAGCAAGATTTCAAATGCTCCAGTCACTCACTTTTCTAGGTTTGTTTATTTACCATTATTGGATTTGATTATTCTCAAGAGTGGAAGCCTTATTATAATATAAGAGTACAAATAATTGTGTTTGTGAGAAAATTAGCTTTTTGTTTCTTAAACATTTCTTTGTGTAAGGAAAATAATTATATTGTAAAATTTTAATGTTAATTTCTCTTTTGGGTGCTGTATTTTCAGCTACTTTTTTCTTTATTTTTAAAAGAAAGTCATTTTTATGTTGCATAATTTTCTCTTGTGAAATAGATTTTAATCAATCAAGAATAATACAGAATATAAAGGCACCATTATTCCTGTGGTTGCTTCTTCCAGGCTTTAATGCTGCCTTGGGCAATCCACTTTGTCTCTCTGTTTCCTCATTTGAAAAATAACAAGCCATTTTATGTCATAATGCTCATGTCCCGGGTCATTATTGGATACCTTTAAAAGGGACAACTGTTAGCAGTCAGGGCTTCCTTTGCATACAGACATAGTCAGCTGATCTTTTTTTTGGCCAATGTATATGCTGCTCATTCCTATCTCTAAACATTTTCTTGCCTGGTTTTCCTCACCCAAATTCAAATTTTCTTTTTTCAGTTAAAATCCTACACATCCACAAAGGCTTAGCTCCAGTGCTACCTCTTCCACATAGCTTTTCCTGACTCTTCATGATTTGTCCATCTCCTTCTATCCATTGTCTCTGCTACTGTGAAAAAAACCCTGGTTAGAAGGGATCCATCCAACATAGTTGGACAGAGTTGTCTGAACTTCTCCTGCCATCCTCATCGTCTCCAGATGCTCTTTTCCAGATGTGCATCTGCAGCTGTTACTGCCTTCATTTTGTCCAGCTCCTAAAAGAAGACTGCTATCCTTACCAGTTTGGTATAGGGTGAACAAATATCTTTGCCCCTAGTTTGTTTAAACAAAGTTGGATTTTTTTTCCTGAAAAGTACTTTATTAGCAAACTAGAGGAGAAACAGAAACTATAAATGTAAAGGTATATGTACTGAAAAAAAAAATCTTAAGTGAAATCTAAAACCAGGTGGCTTGACTAGATGAGGTAGAAATTTCCTTAACTGACCTCTAATGATTCTGCCTCCAAACTTGAGGATGTGCTGCACTTATATTTCTTTTACTCTCCTCTTTTCGGGATATCTCCAGGACAGTCCTTGGAAAGCCTACCCAAATTTTTGTTTATTTTATCTTTAACCCATCTCTTCACCAAAGGCATATATATATTTTTAGCCTATTATAAAGACTGACAGTGCAATTTGGCTAGATTTAGATTCTTCACTGTGATTCTAGGGTTGAGTTTTAGGCCTAATATGTTGGCCACATTGCCTTCCCTGACTCTATATGTTTGTCATTCCTCTCAAATGGTTTCACTTTTTTCTCTTTCAAAAATCCATGTCCTATCCCCCTGTATTAGTCTCATAAGGCTGACATGCAAAATTACCACAAACTGGATGGCTTAAAACCACAGAAATTTATTCTCTCACAGCTGTGGAAGTTAAGTCTGAATCCCTCTGGAGGCACTCAGGAAGAATCCTTCCTTACCTCTTTCCAGCTTTTGGTGGCTCCCAATAAGTCTTTGCACTTTTTGGCTTGTAGCTACATCACTTCAAGTATGGCCTTCCCTGGGTGTCTCCTCTCTTTGTATCTGCTCCTTTTCTTACAAGGACACCAGTCATGGCATATGAGACCCACCCTAATCCTGTGTAACCTCATCTTAATATGATTACATCTGCAAAGAGCCTATTTATAGATAAGACCACATTCACAGGTACCAGGAGTTTGACTTGACTGATATCTTTTTGGAGAACACAGTACAACCTACAGTTACTTATTGGGGGGTAACAAAATATGCTAAAATTTAGTGACTTAAAACAAGACACTTATCATCTCACGGTTTCTGTGGGTCAGGAGTCTGGGTGCTGCTTAACTGGATGCCTGTGGGTCAAGGTGGCAGTCAAGCTGTCAGCTGTGGTAGTGGACTCATCAAATGACTCTACTTGGGTGGTGTATCTGCCTCCAAGATCACTGTTGTGGTTGATTTGAGAATTCTGGCAAGTTGATAGTCAAGTTTGGGAGAATTGATAAACAAGAGAATGAAAAGGAAGGGATGGATTTGTATGCTGGCACCTGGAGCAAAATAAGGAAATGGAGGGGCACAGCTAGTGTCTGTTCTTCCACTGGTTCTTCCCCAGTGACCAGTGCCTAAGCCCTTGGGAGAGATGGGTAGATGGGACGTAAGTAACATTACTTAAGATCCCAGGTGACAGAGTGGAACCTAGTGGGGCTGGGGCATTTTTCTTAAGTCTCATTGGATCATTGTGCTTATCGGGTACTGTGAAAATCTGTGTAAGAGGCCTACAGATGTGTTCAGCCTGAAGAGTGTTTTAAGCAATTTTTATTAGTTATCAACACTTGACAGGAGATTTCATATGAAAATCAAACCTCTGACTCTTATAATATTTCTTTTAGTAAATATTTATTGGGGGCTAGTATGTGCAAGTTGCCATGCTAGGTCCTAGGAATATTGAGACAAACAAGCCAGACATCATCCTTGTGGAACTTAACTTGCAATTTTGAATTAATGCCTGAGTTTAGAAATAGTTTAAATTACCAAAAATAAATAAAGTCAGAGGTTTACAGTTTTAAAACTGTGTTTTGTTCTATAGTACTGTTCTGAGTAGATTTCATATCATTGACTGTTGGTGCTTCTTGCTCTGTTTTTCCCCTTGCAGGAGAAATGCTCTCGTATGGGAGTAGGCAAGAAGTAGAAATCAGAGGGTGCTCACTTTGGTGTGTGGAGCTGATCCGGGATTGTCTTCTGGAGCTTATTGAAAAAAAGGGTGAAAAAACAAGTGAAGAGATCAATTCCATTCTTCTGGATTATTACTTATGGGACTATGCCCGTGATCACAGGGATGATATGAAAGGAATTCCATTTCATCGAACACGTTGCATATATTATTGACCCAAAGTGTAAATTGACCCAAAGAAAACTGCTTGCATTTTTATATCACATAATTGTTTATACAATTTCACTTTGATATTAAGAGAAAGTGGAAGGGTTACAGCAACAAGAACACTGATTACCCAGCCTCACTTAAAAATTTTCTCCTGACATATCACTCTGTATTCCCAAACTTATCCTTTTTCTGCTTATTTAGTTTGACACTATTTTTCCTTTTTGTGGACACATGACAGAAATAGTGAAGGAACTTTAATGCTTTAAATCTCAGATTTCTTAAAATTAATCATGTCTTATAATTAATCTTCAGTGACAGTATTTCATCTATTTAATTGGTATCTTTTCACAATGTATAATTTTCTGTATACCTTAATCATGAGATATGAGACAGGGGTGGGTAAGGTCTTTGCTATATAATTGCTGCTACTCTTACAAAATTTGACAGCTTGTTTTAAACTTTTTATTGGTAATGACAGTGGGATTTTTTACATAATGATTTCAATTCAAGATATCAGTCTGTCCAGTTTTATTTTTCTTTCAGAGTATGTAACTACATTGAAATTGAATAAAGATTTTAAAAACTTTTCTTAAACCTGAAATGTATTCTTTCATTCAAATAGAATTGACCAGATATAATTTTAAAAGGTTTACAATGAATTTGATTATTTACTTTATATTTCAGAACTCTCATTATCTGCCACTCACTTATTCCCCACTTTCACCCCCACCTTCTTTCTAATCTTGATTTTTGTTATTACCTACCCTCCCAGCTCCCTGTGACTGTGTGACTCAAAAAGGTATTCTTTCCCCAAGCCCTTTCCTGCCATCTGCTGGAAACTTGTCATAATAACTACAAATATGGAAATCATGCTTGAGTTTCCCACTTGCTGGCCTGACCTGCAGAATTTAGACTGAAGACTGTAACATCTACTCTTATCTGAATTTCCAGTTTGCTGGCCTGCCCTTCAGATTTTGGACTTGCCAGCTCCCATAATCATGTGAGTTAATTCCTTAAAATAAGTTTCTCTGACTCTCTTTAAATGGATAGATAGATAGATAGATAGATAGATGGATAGATAGATATTATATAGGTCTATAGATAGACCTATGTCTATCATTATCTCTCTCCATATTCCATTGGTTCTGTTTCTCTGGAGAACCCTAATACAAAATAAATGGCCCTAGCTGGTTTGGCTCAGTGGATAGAGCGCTGGCCTGCAGACTAAAGGGTCCCAGGTTCAATTCTGGTCAAGGGCACATGCTTGGGTTGCAGGCTCTATTTGCCTCCCCCCCCCCCTCCCAGTAGGGGGCATGCAGGAGACAGCCAGTCAATGATTCTCTCTCATCATTGGTATTTCTATCTCTCCCTCTCTGCAATCAATGAAAAAATACATTTTAAAAACACACACACAAAAAATAATAAATGTATGGTGCAACTAAATCACTTGCAAGATTCCTTTCAGATGTAAAATTTACTGACTAAAGCAATTGGAAATTTGAAGAAATATATTATTGTGGCATTCATCTAAGTTTCTCTTCTCATGCACTACATTCCTTCTTTTCTGTTTCCTTTCTGTTTTTATTTTTTTGGGTTAGGATATTTTTGTTTTTGTTTTTGCACATAGTTAGTTCTCTTTATAGACTCTGGTTGTAGGAACAGGGTGCCTGCGGGAGGATATTTTAGTTTTTAGTGGGAAAAAAAAACTGGAATGAAATTAGCTTATTGAAAAAGGAAATGTAATGATAAAAAAAAAGTGTAAATCCAGGGAAAGAGCTGGCCTTAGCCATGCCCAGACACCATACCTTATATTTCTTTTGCTCTGTTTGAAGAGATAATAGGTAATGAGTCCAGGCAACAGAATGCAATTTTTTTGCCAATAGCTTAAGCAAGAATCAGATTTTGCTGATGAGCCTGGCTTGAGTCTCAGGTGCCCCATGCACCTCTGCACCTGCCACTCTGGCCTTTGCTATGGCCTGGGACAAAGGCCACATACTTGGCTGGCCTATGAAGTGGAGCAGGGGCAGTTCTTGAAGAAATAGAGGAGATTTGCTTATAGAAAAGAAGGGATGGCCAGCAGCCCAAACAACCTTGTCTTCTATACCTTTGTATGTTCAGAATATTTTGGCAGGTGGGGATCATTTCAAGGTGGGAACTGCTGAAGAAGAGCTAGGAAAAGCGTAAGGCTACAGTCTGAGTTGGTTCAATGAAAGAACTAATTCAATTTAAGGAAAGAACTAATCAATTTTCTGTGGGGGAAAAACCTAGTAACTCTCTCCCTTCTTTTACCATTCCTACTTTGACATTCTCAGGGTTGGTTGCAGGAATGGAATTCAATTATTAAGGCTCAATAACTTTGATGATGCCCGAATTAAAATGAAAAGAAACAATAGGTCAAATGGTATTTAATAAGAAATCTAGATATACTTACCTTGAGGAATGAAAATAGTAGTATTTGGAAAGCAAAAATCTATGAGTTCAACTCCAAAAAAAGAAACTCTATTGGTTGATCAATTCATTATTCTCAAAATCAATAACTAAAAGGGGGGAAAATCAAGTATATATCCTGCTATTTCTATACTAACTGCATTTCAGGATAATCTGATGGAGGGAAAGCTCTTTTCTATAGAATAATTTCAGCTAATAAATGCAAAAAGGAATATTGGAATTAGAAAATAACCATTTTGGAATTCCTAATGAATTAATAGATCTGGAAAATGACCGGATTTATTGACCAATGGCTGTTAAAACTATTAAGTAAAATGTTGATGGGGAACTTTTTTAATGGATGGATTAGGCTGAATGCACCTGAACTCACCAATAATCTTAACATCACCAAAAGTGGGATATGCAGACATTTTGTGCCTGCTGGTGTGTTGCAATAGGAAGTACACAACCCCATTTATGAATTATTCTTGGCAGAGAAATTGAATCCGAATCTAATCAAGAGTCTAGACCTAACAACTAATTTACAGAAAATGTAGGGAATAGAGAAACAAGTTAAAAGACAACAGAAAGCGGTAGTCACCACATGGATGAACCTTTAGGACATTGTGCTAAGTGAAATAAGCCAGTCACAAAAGGACAAATTCTGTACCATTCCCTATATGAAGTACCTAGAGTAATCAAATCCCTAGAGACAAAAGTACAATGGTGGTTGTCAGGGACTGGGGAAAGGGGTGAATGGGGAATTGTTTAACTTAAGGGTATAGAGTTTCAGGTTTTCAAGATAAAGAGTTCTGGAGATTGGTTGCATAACAATGAGAATGCACTTAACAGTACTGAACTGCATGATTAAAAATGGTTAAAATGGGGGTGGGGGTGGGAGGGGCTGGGGAGAGGTCAATGGGGGGAAAAAGGAGACATATGTAATACTTTAAATAATAAAGAATTTTAAAGAATGGTTAAGATGGTAAATTTTATGTAATGTGTATTTTACCACAATTTTCATAAAGGTGGAGGGTAACTATTATTGCTTAAAAGAAGAATTAAGGGGCGTATCCAACAAATGTTACATATGGACCATGTTTGGATCTCAATTTGAGCAAATAAACTGAGAGGAAGGGAAGGGAAGGAAAGGGAAGAAAGAGGTAGGCATTGTGTAGAAAGTTATAGAGCTCAGCACAGTCTTTGGGGAGGTACTGTTTACTTTTGTCATTTGACCCAGACCTCAGGTTGCCTGTGCCACTTGCCAGCCACATTGCCTTGAGCAAATTAATTGTTTTCAGTTTTTGTTTTATTAATCCTCATCCCAGGATATTCTTTCTATCTATCTATCTAATCTATCTATTTTTGTTAATCCTCATTTGAAGATATTTTTCCATTGATTTTTAGAGTGGAAGGGAGGGGGAGAGACAGGGAGAAACATCAATGTGAGAGAGATAAATCAGTTGACTGCCTTCCGCACACATCCCAACCAGGGCTGGGGATTGAGCCTGCAACTGAGATACATGCGCTTGACTAGATTCGAACCCAGGACCCTGCAGTCTGCAGGCTGATGCTCTATCCAGCTAGGGGGGTTTTCTGTTTTTATTTATTTATTTTTGTTTCCTGTTTTTAAATGTTTCATAAATGCCGAAACCGGTTTGGCTCAGTGGATAGAGTGTCGGCCTGCGGACTGAAGGGTCCCGGGTTCGATTCTGGTCAAGCGCATGTACCTGGGTTGCGGGCATATCCCCAGTAGGAGATGTGCAGGAGGCGGCTGATCGATGTTTCTCTCTCATTGATGTTTCTAACTCTCTATCTCTCTCCCTTCCTCTCTGTAAAAAATCAATAAAATATATATATAAAAAAAACTACTTTAAATGTTTCATAAACATTTATTGAATCTATGCAATGAGCTTAATATTTACTATATATTAAATACTGATTGTTCAACAATGGGGTCATAAAAATAAATAATAGTCCAGCTGGTGTGGCTCAGTGGTTGAATATCAACCCATGCACCAAGAGGTCACTGGTTCTATTCCAGATCAGGGCACATGCCCAGGTTTCAGGGTTGATCCCCAACAGGGGGCACACAGGAGGCAGCCCATTGATGTTGATGCATTGATGTTTCTATCTCTTCCTCTCCCTCTCTCTCTCTAAAATCAATAAAAACATATTTAAAAAAGGAACTGCCAGACTATTAAAAAATAATATATGGTCTCTGCTGATACTGAAGAATAAAATGTGAGATAAGAAATAGCAGGGATAAGTCTAGAAAGCTAGGCAAAAATAGAATCTGGAAGGCCTTGTATGCCATGTCAGAAGATTGGACTTTATCATAAAGAGCCATTGAAGTTCTTATTTTTTAAAGTTGTCCTTTATGTTTATAAAAACAATGTACTTATAAATTTAAAAAAATTAAATGCAATCCCAATTTTAAAACTCTCAATGGAACTTTCTTCTGAAAATTGTCAAA